CAAAGCAATCTGACTTTTAACAATTTTTAACAAGAAGTCGAAAATATCACTTTTTACAAAAAATGACAAAAATATTCACTAAAATTAAAGAATTAAAGATATCATCACAAAATTACAAATCTGAGGGAGGTCCACATGTAGTACCTATATATGTAATATCAAAGCAATTGGACTTGCGGTTTTTAACAAGAAGTCGAAAATATCACTTTTTACCAAAAATGACAAAAATATTCACCAAAATTAGAGAATTTAAGATATCATAATGAAATGAACAAATCTGAGAGAGGTCTACCCAAGGTACATATACACCAAGTATCAAAGCATTCAGGCTTGTAGTTTTCAAGAAGAAGTAGAAAAAGTAAAACATTGACACGGACGACGGACAATCACTCATATGATAAGCTCCGCTCGACAAAGTCGACAGCGGAGCCAAAAAAAATGGACAAGCATATGTCCCGCACGATGTTTGTGAATGTGAGCAGTCCAGGTATTTTCAAGATATGGGTGGGGGAGGCAGAGACATGCAGAAGTTGATCCATAAGTTCCTGTCTCCAGATTTTTGGCAATTTCACTATTTCAAACTATAAGTAACTGCAAAAAGGAATTTTTCTGTGAGAAACTGTAGGCATAATTAATTCACTGAAATGTACTAATTTTTTGACAGAATTGAGGGGCAGGTAATTATTGTTTGATCAATTGGATGACCCCCCCCCCCCCAACACTAACACAGTACAAGTAAAAAGGTTATTCAAACTATTGTAGAAATAGTTTTCAAACATATCAACTGCTAACACTGTTTTTTCTCATTGATTTTGGTATGTTTGCGAAGGTTTTCAGCAGATGTACTGCATTCTTAGCAAACCACTGTTTTTCATGTAAACACTCACCTGCAGATATTCTGGATCCTCGTTTTCTTTCCTCTTGGGGTTCTTCTTTGAGTTCTTCTTTCTTTTCCGCATCCCTGTAACTATAGCGACTGGTATAAGGCGATGATATTGTTGTAGTGTCGCTATGAGGAGACTTGGCAATGTAGGATGTGGAGTTATCGGTATCACTATGATACCGCATTCTCCAAGGTATGTAACTGCTTCTAGAAGTCTCCTCTTCAGCAGTCTCATCTTTAGACGTTTTCTGTTGTAACAGGATAAAAAATACTGCGTTCAAATGTCAGAGTTGATCACGACCAAATCTTGTTTTTATTTCCAGTCATGATTGATGACAATTGTCAACTGAATAAGATTTTCAGGATGTACTGGTAGTTAGTGAATTCATATAACCCAAATATTATCAAGACTGGCAAGAAGAACAAAAGACGCAAGATGCAAGTATGATCAAGACAAATTAGTGTCATCCAGTCAGAGTATAAAATTGAATCAAAGATTATCACAAATTCTGCATGTAATTATATTTTAGTACATTGTAATGTTGCATACATGACTGCCATTCATAGTTTTACATTAGGATGAGTACAAATAATACAGCATAATTCAGCACTGCAGTGATTTGACCAAACTAGACCAAACTTTTCCTTTTCAGAAAATCATGCTGTCTTAAATCAAAACAAACACAATAGCGCCACAAGTGGTGAAATATTAACAAACAATATTAATTTTAAAATTGTCAGCAATTGAATTATTTTTCTCAGAATTATACGATTTGTGAGTTAGAAGGTTAATATAAAAGTACTAGGAAGAAATGCACTGCAAACCAACACTAGGACACAATGTCATTGTCCTGTCTAAACCAAACACCAACAAGACTGAGAAAAGTATTCTATATAGGTATTTTACATAAGAAGCACAGTTGTGGAGAATGCACTGGAAAAATATTTAGTTAAGAACAGTATCTGGTTTTGACAGGTTTCTAGTTAACATAGTATCTGGTTTTGACAGGTTTCTAGTTAACATAGTATCTGGTTTTGACAGGTTTCTAGTTAACATAGTGTCTGGTTCAGACAGGTTTCTAGTTAACATAGTGTCTGGTTTAGACAGGTTTCTGGTTAACATATTGTCTGGTTTAGACAGGTTTCTGGTTAATGTAGTGTCTGGTTCACAGTATCTGGTTTTGACAGGTTTCTAGTTAACATAGTGTCTGGTTTAGACAGGTTTCTGGTTAATGTAGTGTCTGGTTCACAGTGTCTGGTTCAGACAGGTTTCTAGTTAACATAGTGTCTGGTTTAAACAGGTTTCTGGTTGGAACATACTTTTGGTTGAACACAGTCCAGAAATATTTCAGGTTAACAAAAAGTCAAGTGTAGAGAAGTTTTTGAATAAGACACTTTCTGGTTTAGACAGATTATTACATATGCAAGACACAATTAGAGGTAAATTATAAATATCACAATATCTCTAATAAGTAGTTATGGTGGCAGAGATAAAATCTACAAACCCAGGTAATATCACGGGGATGCAATTTGGGTTATGTATGTCAAACACAACACATAAAAGTTATATTGAACCATAGGTAAACCATGCTCTGATAATGACACACAGTAATTATTGACTACACAATAATTCACATAAAGTAAGCAATACCAACCAACCTTGTACCAGACAAACCAAGTGTTCTGCAACTATGATCATCTCAGTTTAATACCTGCTTTAGATGCCTGATTATTCCAGCACCATGTCTTTTATGACACGTTCATACATAAACCTTGATTCATGGATTACCTATTACTAATTCTGCTTATAATTATAATTTGGTACATTGTAATATCACATACATGATGTCGACTCATACCCTGGGTGAGTATGCCACAGACTCAATGGGAAGGCCAATTCCACTAGCCGAGATTCATTCACTTATGAATGTGACTTAGGGAGAACCTTGGTTAAGGTCTGCAGGTGCTTGTGTTCGACCGAGCCTGGTTTGACACCAGGATAACGCATTCAAATTGCCATTTGATAGAGAGATGGGCATAGAGCCCTGTCATGTAGTCACAAATCTCAATATGACTCCTGTAGCACAAAAATGCTCTATGTGTTAGCACTAGCACTTGCACATACAAAAAAAGTCAGGGGAGACAACAATGACATTCAATGTCCCAACTGTTGCTGGCACACAATAAAAAAATCTAACTTAAAATGTTTCCAGATTAGGACTTGATGAAAGGCAATTACTGATACATAGATTATTGTTAAATTCACTCTTCCACAGCAAACCTTAATACTTGCAATAACTGAATCATCAACTAATGATTATTTTTGGAGGTTGTTGAATTGGTTGAACACAAATTTGGTTGAATAATAAATGGGATTTTGTCAGTGGTATCATGACTGTCGAATTTAAAGATCGCTATGAAGGTAATTTCAAAGATGCAAATACTTTTAATACATTTCTGGTGGTTGAATTGGAAAATAAATTATTATTCTCTATCAGTGGTTTCAATAATAGAGGAATTACAGTACAACACAACACTCATCAGCAAGACTGTTATTTTGATGTCAATGTATTCTTATTTATCAAGAATAGTAGGTATGAGACGAGGTTTGTACGTAGTTTACATCATGAAACCAAGCATCTTAGCCTTGGATGTCAAACATTGGTGTCTTTTTAATAGGTTTATAATCACTTCAACATTTTAAAAAGTTGTGCCTTCCCACTGAATACTAGGATTTGACTTTGCCTGGCAGACACATGATGGAATGCAACAACTTTATCAGTTCACCAACATGTGTTTGGTTTCAAATGTCTCAAGATATCTCAAACATGACAGTATATGCATCAAACTATTAACCAATCAAATTGTTTAAATCTGTCATTTTACAAGAAACAGTGAATTCTGGGTAATTTAGACAGTCATGAAACAGCTTTTCTCAGCATAATCAATTTAACTAAACAAAGGATTCTGGGATATGTTCATCTACGAGTGTGCACCACTTGAGGGCAGTATGTCATTCTCAACTGGGAATTAGGCCCCCAGAAATTGAACTAATTTCCACCACAGATTGATTAAAGCACATTGGTTTTATAATAAAGTATAGCTCCAGAGTTAGAGGTACAAACACTGTTTATATGTAAACAAGATATTACTGTTACAAACATTGCTTTCCACTTGTATTTTTATCAGTAATTTCACTATTTTGAAACTACCAGATTTTAAATTTATATATTTGCCAGTTAAACAAGTTCCTTTGGAACTTTACAGTTTGATTTAATGTAATGTAGTATGTCTTAGCACAGTAAATAATTAAATGCATTTTCAGTATTAACTATCCCATAATCTGGATATATTTACAAAGAATTAACGATTTTAATATCCAATGAGTTCAAGTGTCTTTAGATTCAACTCAGTAGGGCAGAATCTGAAAGTATTCACTATAGCGCCCTCTACCAACATTCCAGATATGCAAAGCTGAATCATAACAAGACACATGCCCATATATGGAAGAGACAGTTGCTGTCAAGTTTATGCAAATTATGACTCAACCATTTTAAACAAGACAGGCAAACAAATGTGATTTTATCTTCAATGCGATCTTGAGTGGGGGCATTATTGATTTAATCTTAACCATTAACAAATGCTGAAACATTTCTTCAATCTTCTGTTATAAGCCCTCTCATCATCCGAACCCCCTTTTATAAAAACAACAATATTTCACCCCTCCTTTTGAATGGTATAGCCTATAATATCACACATACCCTATGATACATCAATTGGAAGGTTATCCATCAACACTTGCAGTATCTACACTCAGAAAGTTGGCATGGCAACATAAATGACTGAATACATGTCCAGAAAGGAAAGAACTTTAGAAGAATGTACCACAAGTTGAATGGTTTCATCTTACTACTGTTCATATCAATGTACTTTTCTTGTTCTATCAGCATGCATCCAATCACACTTTAGTGGCATCTACTGAACCATTTAGGCTCAACTTTTCAACAAGTAATTTACGCAAGCACATACGCTCCAATAGTTTGCAAATACAGTACGCTACACTCCTACAATATTAACAGAAATGAAGTATACTGTAAAATGACTAATTTTCACTGGGTTTAAATTTCGCTGATTTACCATTTCAGGCATATTCAGTGGGTTTTAAATTCACGGTTTTATCATTTAGATAATGTGTTCTATGCTAAATTTTACATATTTACTGCCTTTTAATTTAGTGCACTTTCCAGTCATAAGCAAAATTAAAACTCAGTGAATAATTAAACCTTTTACAGTATACAAGTTTTATATCCTACCAAATGTCAGTTTCTCAGCTATGGGGCACCCCCTAAAATCTAATGGAATATGCCAGCAGTGAGTGATAGGTTTTGAGATCTAGATATCATATAACATGAGAATACATAGACTATGATAGCTGATGACGTATGGTAACACATGGTACTTACTAACAACCAGCTGTCTCTAATAAATAAATATATCCTACATCCATTATAAAGTCACTCCATCTGGCCAACTGTGACTAATTTCTTGTTTAGCAAATTATATCAGACTAATTTTACAAACGGGTATGGGCAAAGCATTGTCAGTACACAGCCGGTCACTATTTTTGACATTGTCAGCGCTATGTTTTTTTTTTTTTACAACTTAGTTGTTTATTTTAGAGTTAACAAATATGTATATTTTCAGCCGGACTAGTTCATGTCACAATGTTCTTATTTTCAACCAATTTACATAAAATTTTTGGTAATACTGAATGAATTTTGGATTTAGCACTTCATGGATTTAATATTTCATTTAGTTGGAGACAAATATTCATCGATTTTATCAAGTCAGTGAAAACAGAAACATTTTGTAGCAGTCAATATTTCCTTTTGGAGATCTTTAAAAAGTGTGAGTCATGCGACTCAAGAAAGTATCAAATCACGAAAATAGAAACACATTATTTGCGAAATGCAAAATTATTTTCAAATTATCCCCCACTTTAACTATACAGTGAAACAAAAGCAAATTTTAAACTAGTTGCAACTATTCTCTGCTTTCCACACAATCTCAATCATTTTTATCATTCACGGCTTTTTTTCTCTACAACGAACAATCTATTAACCAACCAGCTGAGACTGTAACCTACATTCCATGCATAGCTCAGCCAGAACAACTGTGAAAGGTCAATGACCTACAGAACAGCCAGCTTCTCCAGTTGTTTCACAGAATTGTTGGAATTTTTCTAGAA